TCGTCGAGATAAACTAAAACGGAGGGTTGAAGATCAGCACCAAGAACTTGATCGATGAGACGCTGCCATGTTGCGGGAGCATTCGTTAAGCCATAGGGCATTCTACAAAATCGATACAATCCTCTACCGGGGACGGTAAATGCACTATAATCTCGAGAAGCTTCTTGTAAAGTTATTTGCCAATAGGCCGACTTTATATCCAGAGAAGAAATGTATCTGGCATCACGCAACTAATCTAAAATGGCGGAAACATAGGGAATAGGATATGCGTCTTTACGAGTAACTGCATTTAATTGTCTGAAATCCACACAAAACCGATATTTACCATCCTTCTTAGGTACCAAACAAACAGGTGAACTCCAAGGACTTTTTGATGGCTCAATAATTCCTTCCTTCAACATGTTCTCAATCTCCTCATCTATAATACGTTGTTTTAGAGGACTAACGGGATAGTAACGTTGTTTAATAGGCTTCGTGCCTGGTAGAAGTTCTATTTCATGTTCAGTAACCGTTGTTTTTCCAATGGCGTTGTTGGCAGGTTTCATCTTGCAATTAATAAATTCTTGTAGTATTGATTGTTGGTCCTTAGTTAGAGAGTAGGAGTCTTCAATGCTGGCAATTTCTTCAAAGTTAGAAGAGGAAGAAAATTTCCAAACATCACTTCTTAAGTCAAGAATAATGTCCATAGCTTTCCAAAAATCAATACCAAGAAGTAAAGAATGAGGAAAATCAGGGATGACTAGCACATCAATAATTTTAGTTTTTCCCAATAAGGTAATTGGGGCCTGAAGAATACCAATACAATTGCAAGAGTTACCGTTAGCCACAGTGCAGGAGATGGAAGTAGGAAGTAATTTCAATCCAGCATGTTGTAAAACAGTCCAACCAGGAAGACCGAGAATAGTTCTGGAAGCTCCAGAATCTAAGAGACCCAAGAATAGATTACCCAAAATTTGAACTTTTAAATAGGGACGTTAATCAGCCTTTGCATGTGCCAAAATGAAGTTGAGAACTGGTAAGTTGGAATCGAAAGTCGGGTTGGTCGCTTGAAAAGGAGAGATAATGTCACGACCTTTCAAAATCTCTGATGGCAGTTTTCCGACGGTGAACATTTGGAACAGTTCCGAACGGTAACGTTCGGTTTACCACAACGGAAGCAGAATTTTTGTCTGGTGGCTGGACAAGATTGAAAAGAATGACCCTCCTTTCGACAGTTCCAACAAGTCATAGGATTTCTATTAGAATCCCTAGTAGGATTTCGGGAAGTAACTTCATGGACTTCTTCGTAAGTTGACGCATAAGCTAAATCGGGCTCAAGTAATCTACCACTCGATCGACGAGGAGGAGGCTAAAAGTTATCCACGGCAATCTTTCTTGCTTCTACTAATTTTCCAAGATCCATCAATTCTTCCTTAGTTGAAATTTTATGAAGACCCAATTGCGTTTGATAGAAAGGACTTATATTCTTTAACATGATCTTTAGACGAGTAGAAGGAGGAACGGAAATAGTGAGCCGGTCAAACATATTCTCCAAGCTGACAACAAACATACCCATCGATTCTTGTGGTCCCTGCGTACGAACTTTAATTTATTCAAAAAGTCTATCATTAAAATCAGGAGGCTAAAATTCCTTACGTAGCATGGTAACCAAAGATGTCCAGTTAGATGCTTGCTTTTTCATCGCACGGTAATAGATTAGAGCTTTTCCCTCAAACAGGTCGATAGCAGACTGATCTTCATTGGTTGCTCCTCTAGCGTGTTTCAGTTCTTCAATCCTTATTAAGAAAGCGCTTAGAGAAATTCCGGTTGACTCTCCAGAAAATTTTATATTCCATTTGGAAATAGGAACTGTTTTCGATGAAGGGGCAACAAATGACTGGTTTGGAACAGAAATAGCTTCATATTCACTAGCTTCACTTTCAGAGCTGTCACTCCCATCTACTAAGTCCAAATCTGGTGCTCCCAAAGAATCATTAAGCAGTCGTCGGTTGTATCGCTTTACCTTTGAATCAAAGTCGGATTTTAATCCCAGAAACTTCACTATATACTTGAACTTTTCGTCCTTCTCAGATTGCGTAGTTGGAATGGAACTAATGGCATGTCGTAGAGCAAAGTTAAGTTTAGCCAAAATTTTATCATGAAGAGTTCCAGCAATACCCTTAAATTCTCCTAAAAGTATGGTAATCTCCTCATGTTTAGCTTCTAAGGCTGCCTTATCGTCATCAAAGGGAAAAGGATAGGTAGGGTAGGTAAGGGGATTATCAGATTTCTCAACTTTTAACAATGTACGCAATGTCTTCCGCATCTGAACAACATTTCCGACATCCTTTAAGCCTCTTATAGCATGTTCGTATGTGAGTTCAGTGACATTAAGTCGATTGTTGTCACTTTTGGGGTTGGATATGATGAAGGTGGAAGATAAAACCAACGACCAGAAATAAAACAAAAATAAAAAGAACGGTTGTAGTGCTTAACACTAAACCCCAGTACAATATTCAAAAAAAAAGTAAAGCGCAATTTCTTGCGAAACAAAAATTTACAAAAAGGTAAGGTAATATCTTAAGATAAGGTAATACAAATAAGATAAGGTAATATCTTAAGATAAGTTAATATCTTAAGATAAGGTCATATCTTAAGTTAAGATAGTCGAGATAAGGTAAGGCAGTTTAGGTAGTTACTACTTAAACACAGCTAAAATAAAATATACAGTAATGCACAATATAAATTTTAAAATATATGAAAAAAAAATCAATTTAATTTTTAAAAAAGGAAGGGCCTTGTAGTTGGGTGCCAATTTGTCACGGTTTACTTTTCAGTGGGCGCTATCTAAAGTAATATCTAGTTTTAAGGGCTCTGCCCGACTCTATAGTTGCTCAGGGGTGTGGGTTATAAAGGGATGTCATAGGCGCCACGTGATTTAAGTGGCCCTTAAAACGTAGAAAGCGAAAATCACGAAATATATTAAAATAAAGTTTATTTAAGAGATATTATTTCCAATAACGCAATAAGTGATTATTCTTATGTTATGTATAAATACCAAAAATAATACCGAAGTGATCACTTGGGTTTACAACCCTTTTGGTAGTTGCGAACTACAAAAACAATATATATATATTCTGCAAGTAAAATACCACTCTGTAGCTGAAGGCTAACAGGGCAAAACAAAAATTAAGTAAAACTGGTGCATAAGGCAACCAGGGCAAAACAAAATGAGGTGACGCTACAAGTTAAGCTTGTACGTGTAACAAGGTTAGCAACCCGAGGGTTGCAATCTGATCCGGGTAAACCTGGTTATACGGTCAAGCTTAACCAAATCAGTTCGCAACACAACGAACAATACTGACCAATAAAAATAAAGAAAATCAAAAATAAATTGGCCGTTGGTCTGAATCAAAACCAACCAGCAGCTGGTTATAAGGGCAAAAGCTGGTCAGCCTCGGAACAGAACATCAAACCTTACAAAAATATTCAATAACAAAATAATATATACTCCGGTATAAATACCACACAATAAAGTAAAGAAAAAAATATAGGTAAACTTATCCTGCTGCCAAACGTTGTCACAATCGGGTAAGTCGTCAAATCCGGGGAAAGTGTCTTAATCGGGTGATGGGTGAAATGGCAGACGTCGATCTCAGTCCTACCTCGGCCAACTCACAGTAGTCAAATCCAGGAGAAAACTAGGCTTGTCCGGGTACCTTCGCGGTAGTGTATGTCCCGAAACAAGGGTCACAATAAGGGTGGATATCTGGGAGATAATCCGTCGTGTCCAAGTTGAGTGTAAAATTTACACTAATAGGGTTATGAAAATACGGAAAGGAAAACCCAAAAACAAAACAAAATCAAAACCCTAAAAGAGAGACGGGACGATATAAGATAAACCTTTAACATAAATTGTTTGTACTTCCGCCTGGTTTAATAAATTATGGTATATCGATGGTAAATTATGGTGGTGAGATTGTATTCAACGATGGTATGTGCGGTGTAGTGTGCTATGACGCTGGCTTGACCACTAAAATAGGCTTAGATAACAAAACAGCCGTTAAATAGACAAATGACGTTTACCTAGAGCATGTGCTTTTTAAATCCGGACGAATCCGCTAAATCCATAGACCCAAAATACAAAATCCAAAACGATAACGGTCTAAATGGATCCAATAAATGTTTTTCTGAAGACAAATCCCGCAATTAAGAACGGATAATGAAAATAAAACCAAATCTTCAAAGCACCTGTTGCTCACAAGCCTAACGCCAACTGTCAATAACTGTCACATAACCACCGGTTGGCAACACTGAGTTTAGGATGTGCGACCCATAGATAAAATCTAGATGTTCGTTTGAAAATAAAGTTGGCAACACTGCCACATGACAGATAAGATGTAAACAGAAAATGGCTACATCAAAATACCATTATAAAATATAGACAACCAAGGCAAATACAACTAATAACCCAACGAAGGTATTTCTAAAACCAAACTCAATCTCTTAGGAAACGAAAAGAGTCCTGTGGAAACCAAGGACCCTGCAAAATTTAACTTAAAACAACGGTAGAAAACATAAAACAAACAAGGTAAATTAAGTAGTAGAACTAGACAATAATAATAAATGTAATAACCATTTTAGTAAGAAGAGAAAAAGTCATAAAACTAACCAGGCATTACCGGCAAAACCAAAAGTAGGACAGAAAAATTATACCACTTAAAATATATTTTAAGTTAGGGAAATAAACCAAAATAGAGAAAATAAAAGTAGTACAGCAAGTAAAGTATGGAAATTAAACTAAATAATAAAGTGCCGATAAGTATGTTTTAGTTTTATTAGCAAAACAGTAACAAATTCATAAAATAAAGAGTCTTTTTGACACGTTACAAATTTTAAAGCCTAACAAAATATATAATATTTAAATTAAACATGGGTAAAACTTAAAACTTAAAAAAAAACAAAATAACTAAAAAAATTCTCAAATATCATTTATAATAAATAAACAAAAACTATATTTCTCAGAGCCTTACTGCCTTCCATAATTTTTCAACCACTCCGATACCAGGGTGAATTATAAATTTTCCATCACCTTGAAGTGTTACAGGTGTTAAAAAAGATTTATGGTACACAAGTTCAATTTTAGCAGTTCTTGGCCATCTGAAGGTGCTTCCATTTCTTTTCAAAAACTTCATTTTTACATAATTAGTTGATATAATCTCTAATATACATCCAACGTACCATGTTTTCATGCTACTGATTGCCATGTAGGAATTAACAAGGTTCTTATTTTCAGAAAATTCCACGTCGTTTTCAACCATAGAAATGTCTGTTACTGCTAATGTTTGTGACCCATTTTTAATCCCTTGTTGCTCATCTGGATATTCTCCTGCAATATTAAAACCCGGGGTTATGTCGCTTTTCTCTTCGCAGTCAAAATTTAATTTTTCGGATATATTCTGTGCCTTTGCTTGATATGGCTCATCTTCCTTATCCTTCTTTTTCTCAGTTCTTTTAGCGGTTTCTCGACTTTCTTTGGCTTCTTTTACTGCATGCTTAGCAACTTTATCAGTTATTCCTTGTACATTTTCGTATTTTTCATGTTCATCTATATTTTCATTCTCTAAGTTCAAACTTATGTCCCAGTCGTTATTTTTCATGAAATCTTGCATTTCCTTTTCTAATTCGCTATCTTCGCTAGTTTCCCTCTTTTAGACCTTTTCTTTGGATTCTTTTGATTTGACTTATCTAAACTGCGCACCACTCAATGTGTCGCGACCAAAAAGTTCGTTCTTTTTCAAAACGACATAACTTTTTTGTTTCTTAAACTATTTTATTTTGGTCTGTGTTGTCTGCTAGCCTCATCCTTTGGCAATTCATGCTATAGATATGAAGCTCACGGTTCCTCAAGTAAATTTTCTACATGGTGATATGTTAAACGGTAAAAAATTTTAATAACTTCTCCCAGGCCCCGTTTGTAACAAAATAATGTTTTTCTCGTTTTTACTTTAAAGTAATGAAGTATTATGTAGCGTTGTAGCGTTTTTCAAATTATTCGAATTGGAATCTTAGCAACGAAAATATGAATTTTTTTCAAAAGAGTACATTTAAGGCTTTTTTGTAGGCAATACACTCAGTCTTTTTAGGAACAAGAAGATAAGATGGTGAAATAATGTTCCTTAAATAATTCTGAACAAGCCACAAGCAGCAAACTTCCATTATTTTCAGAGGGCCTAAGCAAAGACTTGATGAACGTAAATATCGGTTCAGGTTTAGTTTTCGCAAATTTTCACCAAAATGTCATTTTGAAAAAGTGGTCTTTGCTTAGGCCCCTCTAAAAATAATGGAAGTTTGTTGCTTGTCGCTTGTTCAGAATTATTCAAGGAACAATCTTTCACCATTTTATCTTCTTGTTCTTAAAAAGACTGAGTTTATTGCATACCAAAGACCCTTAAATGTACTCTTTTCGAAAAAAAAATCATATTTTCGTTGCTAAGATTCCAATTCGAAAAATTTAAAAACCTTTTCAAGGTAAGACATAATATTTCATTATTTCAAAGTAAAAACGAGAAAAAATATTTCTTTTTTCAAACGGGGCTTGGATGAAGTTATTGAAATTTTTCACCGTTTTACATATCATCCTGTTCTAAATTTACTTGAAGAACCGTGAGCTTCATATTTATAGCATGAATTGCCAGGGGATGGGGCTAGTAGACGTTACAGACCAAAATAAAATCGTTTAAGAAACAAAAAAGTTATGTCGTTTTGAAAAAGGACGAACTTTTTAGTCGCGACACATTGAGCGGTGCGCAGTTTATTTCATCTTTGTTTTTTTTTGTTTTTTCTTTAGTTTCTTTGGCTTTATTAGTTTTCTTTCTTTTCACGCCTTTATTTTTTTGTCGACGTTCCTCTTCTTGGTGAAGACGTTCTAGGACTTGTTGGGAAGTAAGAACTTCTCCATATTTTAGTTGCTTGAGTCTTATTTGTTTTTCCTTAGCTACTGGAGGACTTAAATTATGCATATTATCTTTTAAAGTATTCATGAAAAAGTCTATCGCACTTCTTTTAGGTTCAACATTTGCGTTCATAAGAATGTTTGCATTGGTTCCACTATTACAAGGAATGGTAGCGAGGTCTTGAACTTCTTTTGAACTGGTTGAATAGTCGACATTTTCTGTAGGCGCAGTTTGAGATGTGAAAGTCACTTGGTTCGTCTGGCGTTGAAGAGGTCCCTGTGTGAATATTCTTGGTTCTATGGGACTAAGTATTTCAGTTTTAGAACAACAAGGTTGTGTGCCGCCAACTATTATAGTTTTGTTTCTATCAGCTCCATTTTGAATAGTCTTATTACCTGTCGTAGGTTGATTTTGGCTGGTTACAGTTTCTTGATGAATATATTTTTGGAATCTTGCTAGAGCTGCTTGGTCAAAATCAGATTGAGCCTGTGCCGTAAAATTCAGAAACAATTATGTAGGGTGTCAGGTGGTGCATCCATAAGTCTTTAACCGCCAATGAAAACTCTTTCTTCTTTTTATTTTTATTTGTTACCCCTAACGTTTTCCTCATTTCCTTTAATAGAATTCTGTCCCAGTTCTTTTTCAGGCGACCAAATACTCCATAGTCGAGCGGCTGTAAACGATGGGTCAGATGACTAGGGAGACGAAATAGGATAATATTATTTTCTAAAGCACATCGTACAAGTCGAGCGCTAATATGACTTCTGTGTCCATCAAACATAAGGACCGCCTTTTGATCTTTACGCTCATTCGGTAATTTTGCTCGCAAGTCATTTACATGGGAAACAAATTTGTCAGCAAACCAACTGTAAAATACAGGCTTTCATATAACCTTTTGCTGTAGCTGCATAAACTGTACCCGGAAAATCTTCACCCTCGCCTGTCCATCGCGGTAAAACAGCACATCCTTGAAAGATAATATGGGGCGGTAAAGCCGCTCCGTCTGCACTCACGCAAACATTGATTGTTATATTTTCACGTCCTGTGCCTCGTATGCGTTGGTATAAAGCCTTATTTTTCATACCAATTGACTTTATTTTAGAAGGATCAGTACAAAAGCCTGATTCATCGCAATTAAAAAAGAATTCAGGGCACTCATTCAAATTATTTTCATCTACAATAATTTTTAAATTTTTGAAATGGTCTTCTACCACAAAAGGATCAGATGCTTCGGCTCTTTTATTCTGCAAACTTTGAGCTTTTTTAAGAGACAACCGAGGATGTCGCTTCATAAAATTTTTATACCAATCCTGACCTGGTCGTCCGTTCTTAAAGGGCGTCTCTAAATTTCTGTAATTGCAAAAGTCTTTCACAAAGTCAAATAATTCATTTTTATACATAGGATAACCAAAATCCGCTCTTGCCACAATCAGCTCTGATAACTCCGTTTCAACCTCCACTCCTAGGGCAATTTGTCTACCTGATCCCAATAAATTCACTGAGGTTTTACGGCCTATTATTCGATTGGCAATAACAGTTTTTGGAATACTGTAATATTCTGATGCATTGCGGTATGAGCGTTGACGTTTAACGACATCGTTAACAGCTGCAGATCTTCTGCTGTATAATTCCTCTCTGGGCGCTTCTTAATGTATTTTCGAACCATTTTAGCGTTAATAAGGTCGGTACCTTAAAAAAAATATATTATACATTTGACTGGGCATTTAGGGGCAAATGAGACCGCGTTCCCAAATGCCCCTTTTTGACATTTCCTTTCACCCCGTTAAGTTAATTTTTATGGGGTAAATGGGTACACCGGTTTTTAAGAAAAAATTCTGCATATTATACAATTTTGTTATTAAATTCATTCATTATAATACATTTAGAGATAAAATATACATACATGCAGAAAATATTTCTTAAAACAAACAAAATCAAGGTACTTACTTTGCAGAACTACTAAACAAGCACACACATCATTTACAAACGCCAAGTTTAGTCTTACTTTCCCGCTAAATTATTCGCTATAACTTATCTAAGTATCTTGAAAAGAGATGGCGCTGTATAGTTCAGCAGATCGCTGCTTTAAAATTTGACGTAACTTTACCGACACTGTAATTATGATTATTGTTCGCAATTGCCCCTGTTCCCTTTTACCCTAATTTACTTATCTTGCAAATGATCATAAAAAAATTGTTCAGAAGATGCAAATAAGTGTGTTGAGTTAAATTGTTTTCAATAAAATATGGTCCAATGATTCCATTGTAAGAAATAGCACACCACCCGTTAACTTTGTGTGAATACTGTCTTCTAGAGCGGATACGAAAATTAGGATTGTCGCGGCTCCAAAAGCGACAGTTTTGCGATCTAACTACACCGTTTGTGGTAAAAGTTGCCTCGTCCGAGAAAATAATATTATTAACAAAATTTCTTTGTCCAAGGATATGTTCCCCTATCAACAAACAAAAATACAAACGCTTCATGTCGTCATTTTCTTCCAGAAAATGATTAAATTTAGGTTTGTACGGACGAATTTTATTGAATTTTAATATTTTTCCTACTAGAGATTTACTCACATTACCGATTTGAGAAGATCTTTTTCTTAATTGTTGTTGTTACCTAAATTTCAGACGGTGATCGTATGCAATGTCGCATTACTTTTCTCTTTAAAGTACCTCCAATTCAATCACAAACACTCTTTCCGTGACTAGTTGCAAAAAATTATATGACATAATTTTTATTCCGACAGCAAACATTTGCTAAATTGTTCCTGAATGGAAAAAAATTGTATAAAACTGAAAATTCAATAGATAACATGATTTAATTTCAATTAACCAATAAAAACTCTGGTTTTCATTGCTTATATTGAGTAGGTGCTCCATCTGAAAAGTAGATCACATTTTTTATCCATGGGAATTCCTCTTTTATTATTTTCATGAGTTTTTCTTGAAAGGCATGAACAGTGTATGCTACCTGATCAGTCGAATCACTTAATAAGTGTGACACTTATTACACAGAAACTCATTTGTTGGAGCTTTTCTTTATCAGTCGCTTGTGAATCTTTGTAATAAACGCAGAAAGGGTAAACTGTTGCTTAAGTATTATTGTAGTAAAATTATTGAACAGATCTTTGTATAATAAAATAATAGTTTTCTGAAAAATCCATCGTAAAAATGCAAGTATGATGTTCCAATTTATTTTTGCATTGATGTTCTTACATCTCGCCTATGTTGGCTTACCAACCCAGTATATAAGCTCAGGGAGTCCTTTGTTTTGGGTGTGTTCCACTACACCAGCTGTCTATCGGTATTTGAAGTTGGTGGAACGCACTCAAAACAAAAAACTTTGGCGAGGTGTAGGTTCAATTTTTTCTTATAAATCTCTATATTTTATGCTAGTTTTCAACGCATACAACTTTAACTTAACATTTTCGTGTTCTGTGCAAACACAAATTTCATGAGTCCCTGGATCACCAACAAAGACACATTCCTCTGGCTTTAGTAAAGCAAAAAAAAATTTCGGTAGACTATCGTTTTCTAAATAATCATCGATAACTGTCACATATCGAATGTGCCATACCATTTTGAATTTGGACTTTTTGAATTCATTAGTGATGTAAAGGTTTGGGTCACAGGGAAACTAGTAAAACATCAACATTGGTTTACACTTGGATTTTATTTTCGTCATACCTTTACTTTGGTATCCGAGCTCGACTC